TCTTTGATTTACCACACCAACAAACGAATTTCTCGCTAAGCTCGCAGCACAGTTCGACAGAAAATGATGTTAGCTTGCGGCTGAAACAACACACTTAATTGGAAATTCATTTGCAGTCGGGTTATTCGCGAAAGAGAAAATCGATGAAGAGAAACGATCATCAATGATAGGCCCTTTTCTGGAGTTGCGCGACAGCTATATATTAGACTTTATCGATTTTTAACGGTTCTCCAGTCGAATTCCCAGGTTTTTCCCTGTTTTCTAGGTTACTTTTCTAATTCCCGATTATTTCCTAGCTTTGTAGGTTTTCCCGGTTTGCTGGCCACCCTGCTTGAAGTAAGTATTTGACAGTTTGTGTTTGAAGTTAAAACAATCAAGCTTATTCTGCTATTCGTGTGACCCTCTGTCACTAGGGAGGTGACCAAAGTCACGTCGTTTGAGGTGACTCCCCATGCAAATCAAATGAGGAGTCACCTCACACGACGTGACTTGTGTCACTTCCCTTGTGAGAGCGAGTCACACGACTCGCAGAATAGGCCGTTTGTCCGCTGATTGATCGAATTGGCTCAAGTAGTGCATAATTTCTGCTCCGTAGTTCCAAAAACAGAAATTCACGTTGACGAAGAGGTCTCTCGGGGGCGTACAGATTTAGCTGTGCCAGCAATGTTGCACAGTCGACGTCACCTATAAGCAGCTTTCCAGCGAACATAGCTTGAGCGACCGTCCGTCTATCCTCTGGTGGTTCGATGCTCAGCAGATGGCAACGCTCCTCGTGGTAGGTGGTAGGTTCGTTGGGTCATGCCAGCGGAGAAAACGAAGAGCGTATCTTACAAACTTCCGTTGAACGGGTTCAATTCTAGCGATCCAGTTGACATGAAAAGGACACCATACTACAGAACTTGATTCTAGTAAAGACCGCACAAGTGAGCAGTAAAGTGACCTGAGGCATAGTGGATCACGGAACTCGTCGGCAATTTTGAAAATAAAGATTAATGCATCCTAGTTTATTTAAATTATTGAACAAGATTTGACAATTTAATGAAATCATGAAGCCTTCCTTTTTAGCATATCAGTACCGCCATACCAACCGGTGGAAACTGATGATTTTAAATTGGCTCACTACTTGACTAGCCTATTGGTCCCAAGCAAATCGATTAACGTACTCCATTCTAGTCAAAATTTTAGTACTACACAATGTTTGTTTTGAATCGCTATGAAAGTTTGACAGATAAAATGAGGGGTTAGTGGATTTTCCTATGTTTCGAGGGGTGAATCGATTAGCTTGGGACCGAAGATAGAACCAGAGCTGAGCCAAAAAGTTGAGCTCGTTTCTTCGGGACCTACTAGTCTTAGAGTTACCTCTATGGCCAAACTGCCTATAATCGCATATCAGTCGCATATGGAAAAAGTAAGCATTGAGAAAATGGCCGTCGAAGTTACGAACTGGCATGTAGATATTTGAAAAATCATAGCAAATTTATTGCCATTTTTTTCATGTTAATATCAGTTGTAATGAAGATTGCATGTTTTGTTGTATCAGCGAAAAATATGGCAATTTTAAAAGCTGAACTTTAACTCAAACTATGGACGATTGAATTTCCGGATGGGACTGATATGTGATTATTTTGCTGGATGGCACAAACTGACTTGATGTTTTCACATTTTGACAAAAGTCCTCAGTTTTATCATATAATATGTAAGTAGAATAGAATTGATAGTGGATAGCGATAATCCATATGGGACTGATATGCGATTATAGGCAGTATAGGTGACTTTGCCCAGCGTTGCCAGATTGTTTTAAAGCTAATCGGTATCAAAGGTATTAAAAATCGGTATTTACTATTTAATTAATTATATATTTTTGCCGTTTTTGAAAGCGAAAATTTTAACGATGGTGACGACTGGGACTTGTGGAGAATTGCTAACGGCTTTCTCAGTCTTAAAACAGTCTTTATTTTTTTAATTTTTTTTTAAATTATCGTTGTCCTTAAGTGGTGGTCAAAATAGTGAGAAAATAGCTTTTTCAATAAAATATCATTAAATGAAACCAAAATATGGAAAATCAGCCACAACAACGACTAAACTATTGATAACGACATACAATATTTTCACTTGAAAAAGACCACAACCCATGGCCGAAATGTCCAGCAGATTACATCGTAGTTGTTGCAGTTTTTAAGACTGAGAAAGCCGTTAATCAAAGAAAAATTTTAGCTTTTGTACAATGATCGGAAAATTCCGGATGAAAAATGTTTGAATTAGCTTCTGAATGGAGTCGAAAAAACATCCAAAGAAAGACGAAAGAAGCTATCCTGGATGAAGCTCGATGAAAGTTCTAAGAAGAGTTGGAAAAACATCCGGGAAACTGCCAAGACACGAATTGAGAAACTTGTGGCAAAAAATTAAATAAACTATCGGAAAAAATCGCATGTCACATCTAAAGGAAGCCAGAAAAGTTTCGGAAAGCAGAAGTAAATTTTCTGAAGTAGCCATTTCCAGGGAAAGCCAGAAGAAGCTCGGAAAAATCTTCCAGTAGAAGTCGAACAAACTTATGGTCAAACTTCCAGAGGAAGACGAAAGAAATTTCTGGGAGAATTAATTGAACTTCCTGGAGAAGACGAAAGAAACTTCCTGGAGACGCTGGCAGAAACTTCCTAAGGTAGATTGGAAGAAAAACCTGAAGAAAGTCGGAAGCCAGAGCGCTTACGGAACAGTCAAAAGAAACAAGGACAAAATTTCGCAAGAAATAGATTTCTGGAGGATGTTCTAATGATCCAGAAAATTTTCCTGATGTTCATAAAACATCCCTGAAGACTCCTCAATTTCCCTGAAGTTTTCGGAACATTCCTGAAATGCACTTGGGAATATTCCATAATTCCTCGAAAATCCTTAACAGTTCTTTTAATTTTCCTGAATTAGGGGCTGTTTTGGAGTTCTCTGGTCATCCTCGAAGCGCTCGGAATTTCCCTGATTATAATAAGACTACCGGAATATCTTTAATCATCTTTGAAGGTCTCTGGACTTTCTTGCACATTACGAAATTTTTTAAGTGCTCTTACAATTTTCTTGAATTTTTGTGACATCAGCATTGAAGTTCTCTGATCTTAACGATTTTTTTTTTTAATTTTTTAAAGTTATCGACACTGCCATAAAAAGCATAGAACTTCCCATAAAATGTTACGTTTACTAAATTTGCATGAGCCCCTCAGGACATTGCTGAAGTTTTTGGAAATTGTCTGAGTTTCTCGGAACTCCTTTATAATTTCAGCAATTTAATTAATTAATCCTGATGTTGTCTGAGCTTCACTAAAGTTCCTGAAAACCATTGATTTTCCCTGAAGTTCTTTGGACTTGTGAACTTTCCAAAATATGTATGATGTTTCCTTAAGTTCACTGGAGTTCGCTGGCCTTTTCTGAAATTCCCGGGTTTTCGAAGCTTAACAGAAGTGAAATTGTCTTTAATTTATCGAAACTTACACAAAGGGCTGGACTTTTCTGAAGTTTCAGAACTTCTTAAATGTGCCTACAGCTAGTGTGGATACGCAAAAAAAAATCTGATAGCATCCTTGAAGTTCAGGGAAAGTTGAAAAAACTAGCGGGAGAAGATGAAAGAATGATACGAGCGAAGGGTGAAGAAGCTTCCAGGGTAAAGTGGAAGAAGTCTCTTGGGAAAGTTGGATGAAACTTCAGGAAGTTAATGTTTAAAAAAATATTTCTTGATTCCCTAGGAATTACCCGAAAGAGCCATCGATTATTTCTCTCCAAAAACAGGGAGCAAATGCAAACATTAGTCGAAAGAGTTTCAAGCATAAGGCATCTTTAGAGATGATTGTTTAGAATTTTGAAGGCTCACAAAAAATTTTTTCGAGCGCAGACAGGCCAAAATTATTATTATTATTATTATTATTAAAAAAAACGGTATAAATCGGTATAAAATCTTAAAAATTGGTATTCTGAGGAACCTTATCTGTATATCGGTATCTTGTTTGGAAATCGGTATAAATACCGATAAATCGGTATATCTGGCAACGCGTTTGCCTATCGATCCACCCGACCCGTTTTCGACCCTTCATACAGTGGCATGTTGAGGACAATCAGAGGATATTAAGCTTGATCAAATCAAATAGTGAGGAGGGCCCACTGCAATCCGTGCTACAATGAGTGGTATGGGTCCATGAGTCGAGCATCACTTCTGGTCACTGGTCTATTTTGGTATTACAGAAGTAATTCCAAAATACACCAGTGACCAGAAGTGATATTCAGCTCGAGTTACATAATAGGGCCCTATGAAATTGTCCTACAGAGACATATTTCGTAATATATTTGAAATAAGTTTATTCAATGTGTATGAAATTCTTTGAGATTAATATATTTATTGAACTCTTGTTTTGTTTTGTGCAATTTTTTCCTTTTTCCTGGTGAAAATTAAATCCGTGCGATGCCGTTATCGTTGCAGAGAAGGTTGGAAATCACTGAATGTCTTAAGAATCACTTTAAAGCCAAATCCTAATAATTTAAACCAAGCTATTGAGTCATATACTGCAACTATTCGTGTAACAATCCTATGTCTTCAGGGTTTCCTATCTACATAGGACTGTTATGCGAATAGCGGCCGCATCAAAATAGGGGAGCATAATTCCTTCGTTCTATCTAATCTTTGTAAGAAACGCATCATAATTTAGTTTTGCTTTATTTACAAGGTTTTCAGCCAGGGACTGGTTCACCTTGGGCATAAATTATATGTAAAGAAGACGTTTTAAAACCTTCCCAATGTTCGAGCCAAGTATGTGCTACTGTCTGCCGACATTGAAAAATGAGCGCTAAAAGACTTCATCTCCTCTGACGATAATAGGTAAAGAGCTGAACAAAGCCGTCATTTCCCCTACCAAGGAGTGTACGATAACAAGTTGTTATCGTGCGAAAAATTACGTATGGTTATAAGTTACCGTAGAACCCGACAATGTGGATTGATAAGACCTACTGCAATACTCTGAACCTACCTGAACAAGTTCGTGTTGGGCTGGATAGTTAATGTTACCACTGAAAGAAAAATTAGAAATGTCGATTAACAAAAGCATTCAACCCTGAAAATTATCTTAAGCAACTCACCTAGCACACTTCCGAGGGAAACAAGAAGCCGTTCAATTCGATGTGCGTATCCATGAAATTCGATCCGAGTCCTGCCAATTCTCTATAAACCAAAAACTTCGCTGACTTTGATCGATGAAAATTGCTGAGCTCCAATTTCTGTATCCCTCCCTCCCTCTGTACCCAGCACAAAAAATCCCTAGATCTCTGAACACTAAGCACTACCATCCATGAGCTTTCCGTGTCACATATCAACCTGAATTACAATTTCATCTTTCATCGGAAGACCTTCATTCCGGTACTACTCGCATTTGACACCAATTTTCCACCTCTAGGGAAAAAAAAACGCTTTCCATCGGTACTCTTCTCCCGTTCCGACCACCAGTATAGTAGGGCAGGGAAGTCTTGCTTTTCACTTCAGTGTACAACACCACTATTTTTTGCTGCACCAGTGTATTGCGCCAGGCGATAGATTAACTTTTTTTTTCTTCTACCGACGGACACCAAATTGAACGATCTTTCTGCGGATCGTCGCCAACTGCTGTGCCCACGAATTTTTCAAGGACCTTCAACGGAGGAGGTCCTCTTCCACAAGCAAGGGGCTTTCCAGCGCGGAAAAGATACCGCGAATGTCGGAATTAAAGTATGTATCACTGAATCGCGTTTCGACAATGACATTAGACCATTATAGCATAGTGCAGTACACTCTTTATTACGCGAGGAGATTCCGCCGCGACGACGACGATAGACTTCACTTCACCGACGAGCTCGAGTTGTACGTACGTACGCTCATTTTTCTGCTGCTCTTTACTGGCCAGTCGAAGTAGGCTCGCTGTATGAATTTCTACCGTCGTAAATAGTCGCTCCGATCACACTACACCAGCCACGACCGAGACGGCTAATACATAGGTGTAACAGTCGGAAGAAGTGTTAGTTTGTTTACTTAAATGAACCATGCCCATTTTGTTATGGCATGTTTGCTATACGAAATGCACCTCGTGTTTATTAGCGAATTTCACATCAAAGATTGATTAATTGAGTAGGAAATCAGTTTGGCACGGCATTTGTGACCAGCATACACCTTCCGGTAGTATGAAACAGGTCAAAAACTGTTCAAATCCGCAGATAAAATTTTTGTTTTGAATTTCTGTATAGCAAAATAGTGAACTTTTCGTGAACATTAACGGCAAAGAACTCACCAACACTGGGAGACTGTGAGTTCCTGCCCACCTGTTCATTTTCCATCGTGAGCCACGACCACGATGGAAAATGAACAGGTGGGCAGGAACTCACAGTCTCCCAGTGTTGGTGAGTTCTTTGCCGTTAATGTTCACGAAAAGTTCACTATTTTGCTATACAGAAATTCAAAACAAAAATTTTATCTGCGGATTTGAACAGTTTTTGACCTGTTTCATACTACCGGAAGGTGTATGCTGGTCACAAATGCCGTGCCAAACTGATTTCCTACTCAATTAATCAATCTTTGATGTGAAATTCGCTAATAAACACGAGGTGCATTTCGTATAGCAAACATGCCATAACAAAATGGGCATGGTTCATTTAAGTAAACAAACTAACACTTCTTCCGACTGTTACACCTATGTATTAGCCGTCTCGAGCCACGACCACCCTAATATTTTCGATGGATGTGTGTGATACGAATGGCATGAGTAAACCGAGTAAACGGCATGAGATCAATTCGACGTCAGAAAAGGCCTTTCTGATTCATTCATTACTGCCTGTGTTGGTAGGATTGAAGGTAGGTGTACATACTATGAACCATGCAATCATTCGATATAGTAAAGGGTTATGTTTAGCCGTTTGGAAGTATTTTTGAAATATTTCCATTCAGTTGACAAAACAAGGACTCAAACGAAATTTAGCTTCACAATATAAAATTATTTGCTCCAGAACGAAGGTCTTATTTCTGGCACTTTACCATAGTTGTCTGTTTGTGTGCGTGGGAAGTGTGCGAAAGTGTTGGTGACACTGTGTGCAATCGTCAGAATGACACATGCTGTTTATGCTGTCTTCGGGCCTTTTCAGGGCGGTTGATGCTGCTATAAAATTGCCATAAAATTTGAAGAGAAGCGTTGCCAAAATGCAGAGTTTGTTGACGTCACCCTCGTGTTCCGGAATAAAATTGCGCGTGGATAGTCGAGTTTCCATTCAAATAATACAAAATTCAGGAGTGAAGGGGGATATGTAAAACCCCTATTTCGTCCCCTTAGAGCGTGCACAGTGATTTAACAGTCCATTTTCACTCTCTTAATTAATCGCACCAGGAATAGTGGCTTTAGAGTGATGGCGTTTTGTACTAAGTTGAAGGGCATGACCAGTTCAATCTTTTGATGATTGAGTTTGGTGATTAATCCATAATAAGAGAGATGCAAAATTTTATTTTTTCACGTTGTCAGGCTGGTGGTTCCTTATAGTTACTCCATGAGTAACCAGCTCCGAAAACATTTTTTTATAATCAAAACTATGTGGGCGAAAAACTACAAGGAACAGCTCTATATGGGGTTGTACGCAATGGTGACGGAGGACTGCGCACACTAAGATTTTTTTACAGAACATTGTAATTTTTTACCGAATATGGAACAGCTGAACATTCGGTAATCGATTCGGTAATTTTTATGTTTTACAGTACATTCAGTAAATTTATATTCAGCTGAGTTGTCAAAATTTAACGATACCGCTCTGTAAATTTTTACCGAAAATGCTGTAAAATGTTTACCGGTCGATCTAAAATTTGTTCGGTAAAAATTACCGATTGTTTTGTTACTGCATTTTTTATGGATGCATGGATTATTCTTTCTTTTTTCAAATTTGAAGTTAACAATAAGATAAATAGGTTATTTGGTATTTTTTTTTCTACGAATGTTATTAGCTACAATGTTTTTAATATGCATGCATTTTCCGTCTGTTTCGGAAAGCTGTTAACAGCATTGTGATTTGGAACCCAGAGTTCATATTCCTTCATTCTCTGAATTCGGTGGATGCATTTTCCCGATGCATCTCTTCACTTCTGCAGGGAACACAAATGCTGATAGCGCATGGATGGTGATGGAGGTGGTGCCCGAGCTGACCGTAGGAAAAACACATGATGGGATCTTCATTCATCTCGAGAACCATCTAAAAAATATAATCGAAATTAATGATAAAAATAATAATAATAGTAATAATAGTTTTAATTTTACTTACTAATGAAAAAGATCTTCTGTTCCTCCATCGAGAGTTTACATTTGTTGGAGTATTTACTCATTTTTCAAACACTTTCCAATTGCGCACTTTATAACACCGGAGAAACGAGTCATAACCAACTTTAAAAAGGTGGACAAAAAATAAGTTTGACAGCACGTAATTTACAAATCGTTCGGTACTTTTTCAAAAATATCGTATTTAACGTACAGTTTGTTTTGTAAAACATTATTTTTACTGTACATACGTAATAGTTTTTTACAGTATTACGGAATTGCAGCCATTTACGGGTTCAATCCGTAATTTTATTTACATTTTACGGTAATTTTCTGTAAATTACAGAAATTCGTCACTTTTAAATGCTGAAAACCGGTAAAACACCGTATTTTACAGAACAATCGGTAAAAATTGTATTTTACAGACTAAGTTCAGCAAAAAAAAGTACCGAACATAATTTAAGAAGTTTGGTGTGCGTGGTCTCATATAATAAATGTTATTTGTTAACTGCAGCAGGAGCTTGTGTTTTGTGTAGAAATAGGAATTTGAGTGGGGTTCTGTCTGTTTATACTCTTTAGTATGATTATGATTGCCCTGAAAAGAACCTTTTGATATACATTTTAGTTGGGACATGTTCAGAAATTGAACTCTTTGGAAAATCTTCGTGGCCCTGAAAAGGGCCGATGGTAGTAAAGGCTCAAAGCCTTTGGAAGTCGGACCGGACAATCCCATATTCTTCGGTTCAATGATTGGGCACTCGCAAGAGTCTCGGCCCGTCTGCTGCTGGACAGGAGTTAAACTGGTGTCAGCGACAGGTTGGAAGTCCGCAGAATATCAGTGTCCCAGCTAAAGCTCCTCCCCTTTTTAGTTTTTCTCGTTAAACTCCTTCTCTCAACAAGTTGGTAAATCTTAATCTTTTTCAAAAAGATGCTTATCAGGCGCATACAATCATACGATCAGCACTCAGTGTGGTCGAACGCAAGTATTCTTTTCTCCCGTGTTTTCGCAAGTTTTTTCTCGCGCGTGGTCGAACGTTTTTTCGTTCAACCCAAGCATGGGTAAGCCGGGCCCAAGCGGTAGCCAGAAGCAAGGCGGCAAGCGGCCGGCGGATAACAATGTCGATGCCAGACATACGAAGCGGGTACTAACCCTCAACCAGTTCTCGCTGCTCCAGGAGGATGATGGCGAAAGGCGTGAAAGCGTTGAGAAAAAGGAGAAGTTGCCTCCTTTCTATGTCAAGGGACAGCCACGCGAGCTGCTTGACAATCTGAATGTGCTAGTCCGTAAAGGGCTACGGGCCGAATTCCGTCTCTGCGCTGATGGCGTGAAAATCACCGTCCCCTCGGCGGAACATTATAAATCCGTGGCGGAGACACTGCAACTCTGAAAGGTGGAATATTTCACCAACGACGTGCCGTCGACGAAGCCCTTCAAGGTTATTCTACGCGGGCTGCACGAGCTGGATGTTTCGGTTGTGGAAGAAGAGCTGAAACGCAGGTTTTCGTGATCAAACGCCACAACGAGGCGATCAAGTATCGCGACCAACTGTACCTGGTGCATTTGGTTGGCGGATCCACAAACATGAGGCAGCTTCAAAGCATCCGAACGCTGCTCAGTGTCGTTGTCGAGTGGGAGCGGTACAAGCCGGTCCACCGTGAAGTGACGCAGTGTACCAGCTGCTTGAATTTCGGACATGGCGCGCGCAACTGCCATATGAAGTCGCGTTGCTCCAAAAGCGGCCAACAACATGTCACTGCCCAATGCATCGTGGACATGAAGGACAAGCACCCAACCTGTGTCAACTGCGGGAATGCCCACACACCGGCTAGTCGATCGTGTCCCAAGCGGGCTGAATTCATCGCACTGCGGAAGAAAGCAAGCCAGCCGAGACAGCAGAAAAAGAAGCAACTACCCGGAATCGATCTGGAAAATGATTTTCCACCGCTTCCTCCAACCGAAGGACGCGCACCAAACCTTCCTCCCCTTCCGCTGCCCAGAAGGCAGTATAGGAATTCGACGCAAGCCGAACCAAGCAGCATTCCTCCAGGATTCTGAGGAACCCAGCCTGGTGCTGTACCGTTGCTTCCTCCAACCGATGGTCTGACGCAGGTAACGGTTGTCAGTGAAATGCAAAAAAATGATGGTGCAAATGATGCACTTCATGACGAACTTTCACGTTCACCATCAACGCCCTTAATTGGAACGCCCAGTCAGTGGCGAGAAAACAGCCGGAAATCGTAGATTTCCTGCGCCAACATAACATCGATGTCGCGTTTCTAACCGAGACGTATCTCAAGCCGGAGGTCAACTTTAGCCTGCCAAATCACACAATTGCTAGACTGGACCGAGTTCGAGCACAGAGGGGTGGTGGCGTTGCCATTGCCATCAGGAGAGCACTGGAGTACAGGATGCTGCCTGACTTTCGTCTATCGTTCGTGGAAGCCATTGGAGTCGAGCTGGCATCTTCGAATGGTCTCATCACACTCATTGCCATCTACTGTCCTGCCCAATGTAAGGAGTCGGATGGAACAATCGATCGTCTCAAGAATTACATCCAGAAGTTGACTCGTCGGAAGGGTAAGTTTATCCTCGCCGGTGATCT